GGCATCCAAGCACCCAAATCTGGGAGCAGCCTATGTGATCCAGTTCTGGGAGGCAGGGTCAGGAAGCAGCATTTTCCCATCAGCCCTGCAGGTGTCCTGAGCCATTCGCATGTTTGAGGCTTATCTGATGATCTTGCTTGTCCCCTAGGGTGGCCAGTGAGATGAAGAAACTCAGGCACAGTCCTGAGGACCACCAGAGTGACTGTCACTTTTTAGAAAGGGTGGAAGGAGATGGGTCCGAGCCAACCCAGAATCAGGGTTCCAGTGATTAGGGGAAGCCGAGCCCCTCCCGTTCCACCCCATCCCTGGTTGTCGGCTCCCAGCTACCTGCAGCCACATTTCTGCATCACTTCTGTGTGCTTGGCCCTGGCTGAGACACTCACACTGGACAGGCATTCCCTCAATTCATACTCACAGTTACTCTAGGACAGTGGCAGCGAACCTATGGCACGCGTGTTGCAGAGGGCTGTCTGTATCATTGAAAGTCTAAAAAGTTCACTATCACTGCTCTAGGAATTAGGTACCACTGTTATCTTCAGTTTTTCAGATGAGGCACACAGCACTGCAGGGTGGGCATTCCTCGGGGAGCTTCTGGTCTGAGACCTTCACATCACAGAGGGAGACAGGCCAGAGAGAGCAGGACCTTCGGAGTTCCATGCCTGCATGGTGGCACTGGGGCCAGGCCTGAGTCTGGCCTTGGGTCCTAGGCAGCCGCAGACTTATTACTAATGCTGCAAACTGAATGAAATAGCTGCCTGGTTACAAATTAATAACAGATCTGTTTGTCACTAAGGCAGCCTTGTTTAATAAAATTAGTTCAGCTGAGCTAATTACTTTCATATACAATTCCCCTTTAAAATTACTTTGATAAATCTAAGCCAATTAGGTGGGATAAAGACTAGGGTGTAGGTTTGGCTCTGAGCTCCCGAGAGGTCCCTGCAGTGACACCTCCAGGTTGGGAGTTTGATGCCCAAAGCCCCTGTGTCATACCCTGGTGATCAGCAGGAGGCCCAGCAGGGAACATGAAACCCCCCTCACTAAACTCAAAGTAATGCTGCCTTCATCTGAGTCTTAGACTCAACCCTGGTCCAGCATGCACTGGGCATCCTCAGACAGGCACCAGGTCTCCTATTCTGCTTCCGTTTCATTACCAATGCTTTCCCTCCCAGGTGGTGGTGAGGACCACTGTGCCTCTTGCGTTACTTGGTTTATTTTTTTAAATTTTAGTTTTTGGAGACAGGGTCTGTCTGTGTAGTCCAGGCTGAGCCTGAACTAGTGGGGGTCCTCCTGCCTCAGCCTCCTGAGTGCTGGGATTACAGGCATGCACCACAATGCCCAGTTTACCTGGCTTGGTGTTTAAGCACCAGTCAATACCCTCCTCTGCCATCAGCCTCTCTAGCCCATTCTCTGTTGCCCCCAGAGCTTGGTCCTGGAAATGCAACCCAGCCAGGGCTCTGGAATCAAATTCACAAGGTTAACTTCTACGAGCTGTTTTCTGCCTCTCTGCTGTATGTCCTTGCTTCTTCCAGCAGTTCTTGGGCAAAGCTGCTTTGGAATCAGAAGAAGCCTGCTATGGGTGGGATCTCAAGATCAGCAGCTGGGGCAGTGGAGACACAAAGTTGTAGAGTTGCAGCATCTGGCCTGGATCTCCCATCTTCTTTCTGCCTCCTTCCTACTGGTTTCCTTCAACCCCTTGTCACCCTTCTTGGGTATTTCTGGAACAACACCTTGTAGCTACCAGGTGCTTGGATCTCAGCCCAAGGAAGTGGTTAAGGGGAGGTGTTCAAGCAGAAAAGCTCAGGGTGATCCCAAAGTCTTTCCTGCACACCTTAGAGGCACAAAGTCCCCAGACCATCCTGCGGAAGCCAGGTTTCTGAGTTGCTGTACAGCTTCAGGGCCAGCATTCATAGACTGTATTGTCCTGTGCAGCTGTACACTGTGCCTTGGGGCCGAGGATCAGGGAGGCCTCAGCAGGCCTGCAGAGAGAAGGGAGCACACTCTTCTTGGCCCTCAGCTTCCCCTGATATCCTTATTCCCAGGGCCTAGATCACCAGGGTGGCCCAGCTGAAAGGCCTGGGAAGGGGAGTGGCGAGGACACAGCAGCACTCACGGCTTGAAAACTTGTACAAATGGCTTCCTGGGCACTGACCCCCTCAGTGCCCCCAGTCCCCTCTAAAGCCCCTTTTGAAGGGGACCTCAGAGCTCTAATGAGTTGAGAGCTTTTATGGGAGCCCAGGCAAACCAATTAGGTTTGCTTAAAAATATTGTATTCATTAGCATGAAAATAAAGCTGAACTTTTTAGAGATAATTGCATCTTTTAAAATGTGGTAGTCTTTGTCTAGGCTTGTCTCATAAATATGCATGCGGCATAACCCTTCTGGAACCATGCTCGCAATCACAGGAGACACAAATGCGTCCAGGGTGTTAATATTCTGACAAGAGCGGAGCCTCCTGGGCAGGCATTGCCACCAGTGGTGGCCTCCAGTGGCTTCCCTGTAATCCCCAGCTGCAGCCTACACTGCTCCCTGATACCAGGCACCAGGCTCTGAGTTCCTTCGCTGTCCTTTGTATGAGGGAGGTGGCCTGCTTAAAATGCGGGGAAGGGTGATATGAAGGTTGGCCTGAATTCACAGCTGGGGAAGTGGGAACCCAGGGGGTTAAGTGGGTTGCCAAGTTCACCCTGGATGGGTGGGACTGAGATGATGCCAGGTTTGCCAACTCAGACTGCTGCCCCTCGTTCGTGAGGACAGCGAAGGGTGGCATTGACATCTAGCAGGAAGGGGGTGCCTTCTGGCACCGTTAGCTGGGTGGCTAGGGGAAGGCTGACATCTCTCTGGAACCACCCACTTGGTTTCTGTAGCTGTTCCTCCCCATTGCCCCCACTAAATGCACCAAGTTACAGCAGCAGGCCTGCTTGTTAATTTGACTTCGTGATAAGCCCTTGGCTCTCCTTTCCCAGCCAAGAGTGCTCCTTAGCAATTTTTTTCCATGCTGCGGGTTGAACCAGGACCTTCCCATTAAGCTATATCCCCAACCCTTTTGTATTTTGTGCCAGGGTCTCACTAAGTTGCCCAGGCTGGGCTCAAATTTAGTTATCCTCCTGCCTCAGCCACTCAGAGTACAGGGATTACAGGCCTGTGCCCCCATGTCTGGCTGTTCCTCTGCTCCTTTAGGTAGAAATTCCTTTGCTGCCACTGATCCCTGTCCTTCTAGCTTCTTGTATCCTTCCAGGTCCCCCATTTACTCCCAACTGCAACAGCTTTATAAGATCAATAGCCCACTTTTCATTGGGGCCCAGCACTGGCCCCAGGGAAAGCCACCAGCTCAGTGATGTGCATCTCAATCTCAGCACACATTTTTTAAGTCCTTACTCTCTGTTCAGGTCATGCATCGTGTCTGATGGGGTAATAGAGATCTAAGGCAAGGTGGTTGCTGCCCTAGCTCTCCATCACTGTCACTGAGAGAAGGCAGGCTAGGCAGGCAGAGACCGGGCTCCTTCTAAGGACAGTCTGGGGGCCCGGGAAGAGGGAATACGTGGGCAGTGGGGAAGGCTGGCTACGGTTGGGCTGGCCATCTTGCAAAGGGTGGGCAGGATGTGGGGAAGCCCTGGATGGTTTTCTGTGTACTTTGCTGTCTCCCTCCTGAGCTCCTTGCTGTATCTCTGGGTCCTCAGCCGTGCCCCTAAGCCACTCCCCCAGGAACCCCAGGCAATTGCAAGACCTGATGGGGCTCACAAGTTACCACTCCTTCCAAGTAGGAAACCACCCAAATGTCCAGCTGTGCTTCTGGGTCAAGAACTGCACTGTACTGGCTGACATTACATCCATGTTTAAGAGGCCTATTTGGTCGAACAGCACAAACTTACCCATATCCAAGCATTGTGGATGAAGTCCAGTTCTGGCCCCTGTGGGAAGCTGTCCAGGCACAGATGTAGTACATGTGTGCTGTCATTCAGTCCCCAGGAGCAGCCCACCAGACACATCCCAGGACATCACTTCTGCTGAACAGCCAGGGAGGCCGTGGCACAAAGAATGTAGCTTTCTCCCAGGTCTCTGTAGTTGGGCTTCCAGCCCAGATTGCCTGTGTCACATGGGGGTCTAAGCAGATGAGGCCCAGAGGGAGAGGACCTGGATCCTGAGCTGGAAACCAGCTCTCACTGAGGCCTGTCTCTGATCTCAGGGGCTTGTTGTTGCCACAGCAGAGCTGGCCTGTCCTGGCTGATGCACTCGTAATCTACCTTTGCCTTTCCCATGGAGACAGATGACTACTTACCTTCCACTTGTATTTTGTGTTGTTCTGTTTTTTTGTTTTGTTTTGTTTTGTTTTTGAGGCAGGGGCTCACTACATAGTGTAGGCTGGCCCTGAACTCACTATGTAGCACAGGCTGGCCTTAAACTTGTGGCGATCCTCCTGCCCCAGCTTCCCTGGTGCTAGGATTACAGGCATGCACCACCATGCCCAGCAAGTCCTCTTATGGGACATTTTCTAACCCATTTCTGTATGTCAAGTGTTGTGCTGGTACCAAGGATAAGGATGAGCAAGGATGGATACATCCATGGTCCCAGTGCTCACTGGGTAGCAGGGGCTAGATGGTGACAGTGCGGGTCTGGGGTTGTCCCATGACATGCTGTAGTGACACTGCCCCATAGCGTGCTGGCGGGCAGGAAAGGGCATCCTGCAGCTTCAAGCACATGGTTCTGGGAGTTGGTGTGGCAGGAGGAAGAGGAAGGGGGACTTTGTGTTGCATGTGGCTCCGTGGATTAGGACACCATCCCCAGCAAGGGCAGTGCTGGAGACCTCTCGCTGAGATGGACGGGTAATGGAGGTGCAGCCTGGAAGTGGGGCGTGATCTGTTAACTATACCAGGAGGACAAGAAGCCCATGATTCTGTCATCATTTAGTTAAGCAGTCTGCAGTGTAAGTCAATCCAAAGGATGTCAGATGAGATGGCTAGGAGAGAGGACTAAGACTGACACAACCCACATTTTGTTGAGCACCTATTATTTGCCAAGATTTTTCCCAGCATTCATGCTGCCATTGTGTGGTCAGACAGACAGCAGGACATCCTGTGACACCCTGTGGTTCCCCGCATTTCCACTTGGTTCTCCTTCCCAGACAAAGAAGTGGCTGGGTCCAGAGGCAGGGGGCTATTGCCCCCAGGTCCCAGGGCCTTGGGTAGAGTTGGGACAGTTCTGCAGACTTCGTTCCCAAATCAGGGAGCCTTTCTGTCCCTCTGCAGCTGTGTCTCTTTCCAAAACGGAGCTGAAGCCCAGCCTGGGGAGGAGAAGGAAGGCGAGTTCTTGGCCAAGTTTCATTTAATTTTCCATCAGTAGGTGTCAACTGTGAACCAGTCAGAAATGCTAAAATAACAGCTTAAAAACATAGGCACCGAAATGGAAATGTAATTTTAGCGAGGCCCACCAGCCCCCCCTGTAGCTAAGCGCTACTCGCAGAGTGTCTGTTACAGACATGTAGCACTTCGGGACTGAGCTCGTAGGAGCTGCCTGCAATATGCAAGTTAGCAACTCGGCTGCGAAAGGAGGGGAAAAGAACTTCGCAGGCAGAAAATTGAAAATAAAAGAAATGGAGGGAAAAAAAAAAGTAACCTAGCATTCCTACCTTCTGTTGAAGTTCTGCTAATGGCCTGGGAATGGCTTGTTTGATCAAAAGGCTTTCCTGAAAGAAACAAACTCAGAGGGGTGCTCTGCTGGATGGGGAGAGGGCGGATGTAGAGACTCCACGTCAGGGCCTAGACTGGTCACTCAGCCCCTATTACCTGTCCTGTGCAGAGATCATTCCCCATGGCTTCTCCGTGAGGGTGGTGGCACTGGAATCAGGATACAGCACCCATGAGATGCACGGCTGTGCCACTTCACCACCAGCTGTACAGCCATGCGATGGGACAGTCACCCGTGTATTGCCTGTGGCTCCAGCGGGAACACGTTAATGAAAAAAGGGGGCACTTACTGGCCTAAGTAATGGTGAAAGGTAGGGCTGTGTTGGGCATGGCTAGATGCAAGGGGTCACACAGGGCTCCCTGGGCTCTGTCTCCCTCCTCTTCTGCCTGCGCCCCTGCTTTGTCCTCTGCTGACCTGTTTTTCCATCACAAAGAGATAGAGCCTTCCTCTCTTCTTCCCTCCCTCCCTCTCTCCCATCCATCCTTCCTCCCTCCGTCCCTTCCTTTCCTTCCTTCTCTCCCTTTCCCTTCTCTTTCCTCCCCTCCCATCCCTCCTGCTCTCCTCCTCCTCCTCCTCCTCTTCTTCCTCCTCTTCCTTTCTCTCTCTCTCTCTCTCTCCCCAGCCTCTCGTATTGGGGGAGCGGATTGATTAATGCTTTTTATGTTTTTCTGGGAGCGGATTGATTGAACCCAGGGCCCCATGCATGCTTCACAGACACTCCTGACTCAGGCTCCTGAGTAGCTGAGGTTGCAGGTATTGTAATTGCCGCCACACTCAGCTAAGAGGCAGCCCTTTCTGATAGTTCCTACAGAACAGCACCTAGGAATTCAGCCACACCCAAGCAAGAGAATGGGGCTCTCCCCGGAAAGTTCGAGGGCACCAGGCAAACTGGGATAGGGTTAAAGCTGGCAACAAGGATGGACAATGTCCACATGGTCTTTGAATATATTTCAAGTCAGATGGGGCAAGCAGGGGAGGGGTGGAGCCTGCCAAAGAGGACCACAGGGTCTAGTGTGGGACCCAGGATCAGAGTGCACACAAAGGCTGTGGACCAGATTTCTAAGTGTTGCGAAGTCATAACTCACACTAACAGCGTGTTCAGTGCAGCAGGTCTGTCTGTGCTCCTCTGTACATGTGCATCTTCAAAAGGACCTGGAAGGGGCCGGGGATTTAGCTCAGTGGCACCCTGCCTGCCTCGAAAGCTCAAGGTCCTGAGTTCAATCCCTGGTACCAAAAAAAATAGAAAATACAAAAGAACCTGGAAGGTGGCTCTGGTTTAGAATTTCCAGAATTCCCTGGAATTTTGCACAGGAATGAGCTGGGCCTATAGCCCCTCCTTTCTCACCCCACCCGGCCTCCACCCCACAGTGTAAGCACTGCACATTTAAGCTTCCTGGACCCCGTAAGTGGCTGACCCTGCTTTCTTCCCACAGTACTGGCCAGGGGAGAGGGTGCTGCAGGTGCTGTGCATGGCTGGGTGGCTGGGAAGTGGGGTTCGGGATCACCATATGGAGGGAGCCAGAGGAAAGGCCACAGGGGGCCTTGTGGAGACTGGGTCCAGAGCGGGGCTCCTTGCCCAGTTCTGGGGCTCAACAGAGTGTGGTGGCCTAGATGTGCCTGGCCTGGGTGGGACAGAGGGGGAGGTGCGTGGGGAGGGGACAGCTGAGAGGGACAACTGCAAGATATTTGGCTTGAATGAATATGGCATCGGACTCTGGGCTGTGAGACTGGACTCATTATTGGGGTTGATGGGGGACCTGATGACCCCACAGCTGCCCCAACACTCACTGGAGCTGACCGTGGGTCACACTACCCTTTACTTTGGGCTTGAGAGTTAGCTATAGCACAAGGACAAGTCTTTCGAGGTTACGTTTGTCTGAGCCCCATCCCTTCCCCATATTGGTCCTTTCCGGGGCCCTGGGGTTTCCTTCTTCACGTTCCTCATGGCTGTCTGGGCTCTGTACCCCCAGGCAGACCTCATACCTCAGCCAGGCCCCCAACATGCTGCCAGAAGGAAGGGGATGAATGTAAGTAGTTAACAGAGGAGGTGAGGCCAGGAGAATGCACTTTGCAGAGAGGGTTTCCATGCTTACCTCAGGATTTATCCAGTACCCGGTCACTCAGACCACCCCTCTTGTAACCATCCTGGGACCACCTGATGTCACCTGGATGATGTGGTCTCATTTCTATGCCCACCCCACGCTGTTTTCACCCCAGCAAACTGTTCAGCATCAGAGTGTGCCATACGTGATGATCTCCTTTGTCACCCAGAGTCAATGCCAAAGTCCCTACAAAGGTCTACGAGGAGCCAGTAAGCATTGGGTCCCCTGGGGACTTTGACCGGAGGCCCGGCAGGGCCAGAGAGCCACTTCCTGGCAGCTCCCTCACTGCCTGCTGCTGGGCCCAGGCTCCACGGTGCCCGGAGAGGCTGTGCAGGATGCTGTCCTCACTCTGAGCTCTGCTGCCAGTGTCACCCTCTGTTAGGGCTGTGTCTAGATGTCACTCCAAAGCCTGTGCGAGCATAGGTGGGGCTTTTTCAGAGGTGGCTGGAAGTAGAGTGTATGTGGTGGGATTGATTCATGGTGCAATGGTAGGCTCAGAAGCAGTAGGATTAAAGGTGTGCGTGCTACCCGCCCCAAGTAGTCTGGACAAGACAAAAGGGGCAGAAAGACACTGTTAAGGCCCCTTGCTTGTTTTGTTACCTTCTGCCCACCATGCATTTTCTCCTCTGCGATGTCTGTCTGCCATGCCACCCTGCCTTGGAGCCAGCCAATGATGGACTGAAACCTCTTCAAACTCTGAGCTGAATAAACCCTTCCTCCCTTTACTTTGGGTGTTGGGTATTTTGTCTCAGCAACAAGAAAAATAACTAAGATTCCCTCCTTCTATGGGGATCAGCTGTCCCCATTTGCCCAGGACCATCTTGGTTTTCAAACTCGAAGTCCCACCTCCCATGAGCCACCTTGGTCTTATTTTATTGTTTCTTGTGTGTGTGTGTGTGTGTGTGTGTGTGTGTGTGTGTTTGAGACAGGGTCTCACTGTGAGTCAGGCTGATCCTAAACTTACGTAAGTCTGGGCTGGCCTGGAACTTGCAGCAACTCTCCTGCCTCAGATTTTCTAGTACTGGGATTACAGGATTTTGCCACTATGCCTGGCATTTTTTGTTGTTGCGTTTTGTTTTCTGAGATAGTTTGGCCTTGAACTCCCCTTAGTCTTGGGAAAACCATATGCTGCCTTCCATCCTTCCTTTCCTCCTCGTAGCCTGGCTTCTTCCTCAGGCCCATCCTGTTTGCATCAGCTCCCTTCCCCACCTGCATTCTCATCTCCTCTTTCTCACTTTTTCTCCTTAGCAGCTATTATCTATTGCCTTTCTATTTTATGTCTTATTTATCGTCTCTCTCCACGTGAAGCTACACAAGACATATCACCTCTCTATTCCCTGATGTGCCCCAGTGCCCATGACAGCGCCAGGCAGGGTTAAACAATTACTTGGATACCTGATTACCAAACCAGCACTTCTCAGACCCTCATGCCCAACTGGGGAAATTGTTAACCTGCAGTTTCTCACTTGGAAGGTCTGGGGTAGAGGGCTGAAACCCTGCATGTTCAAAAATTCCAGGAGGAAAGTCTGGGTTTGGAGGTGGAGCTGGGGCTCCTTGGAAGAGAGGGGCAGGTGACACCACACAGTCTCCATGAAGAGAGGCATTTGGTGCTGGTATGGCTGGGTGCACGAACAGGTGGCCCATCAGACTGATTGACTCTGAGATGAAACCCAGAACCCTGTTCTACACTGGCTTTCAGAAGGGACCTCCCCACCCCTCCTGCTTCTCTCACTGTCTCTACAGCTGGCTCAAACAAGCAAAAGACCTCTCTCCAGAGCCGGCTGTTTGGCTTTGCACCTGCTACTGGCAGCTGTCGCTGGCGTTCCCATTAATGGCACAAATGGAGCCTCTAATGGTCTAAGGCCTAAGCCCTGGCTGGCAGCAGGACTGGGGTGTGGGCTGTGCAGACAAATGGGAGTTCTGCCAACTGCCAGGATCCAGGCAACACTATCAGCCAGACAGACAGTTGGACAGACAGTGGGTCAGCCCACCACCTCAGCAGCTTTCTCCCTCCCTGGTGGCTCTCAGGGACAGAGGCAGTGTGGATGGGGTCTCAGGCTCCCAGGAGCTCCTGTTAAGACAAGGGAAGGAACCTTGCATGTGGAAATGGCTTGGACAGTGTGGCCAGTCTAGGGGTAAAAACCTGGGCCTGAGTTGTGTGTGGGACCAATGGGGAAGACTGGGCTGTTTCTTCTTTTCCTGAAGATTCTGATCAACTTGAACAGTGTTTGAAACTTAAAAATGAGTCTCTCTACTGAATTACATATGCATTCTTTCAAAAGTCATGGAACATAAAAGCTTTCTGACTTATGGAAGCAACATAAAATCATGGATGGATACTGACATATCTCTAAGAACTCATAAGGACCATAAAGGTTTGCATTTATATGTGCTGCCAAGTTTGGGAATTTCTAGCTTTTAAAAATATCATTATGCTTCCATACCCAAAAGTTACTAATGCTGAGCAGATACTGGCAATAGCTGTGCTTACTGGGAATATTCTACAGGGCAGGTACATCATGTCACTCTGTGTCTCATGAGAGAGGGTGGTTGTCAATCACAGAGCCACCCCGGTTCCATGTGCCCTTTGCCCAGTCACTGTGTCCTGATGCCCCACGTGGAAAGGACCCCATTCTGCCCTACTCTCATTTCCTGTGCTTTTAGTAGAGAGAACAGGTCCTCTACCCCAGTGTAGATTTGAAACAATGTGAGGCTCAGGCCCAGTCAATCAGACTACGCCCCTCTCTTCCAGTGCTTGGGCCTGAGGTGGCCACGTGACCCAAAGAGAGCCAATGATATTTGGGAACAGGATCTTACATTTCCCTTAAGGATGTAAAGCTGAGGGGCTATAGGGCTAGAAGTTTCTTCCTCAAGCTGTGGCCACTAGAGGGCAGCCTGTCTGAGAGTTGTGGCTGGCTGGGTGGTGCCTACTCAAGGTGAACATGGAGGTAGGAACCAGGGTCCACTGAGTGAGTTGGAGGTATTTTGTGTGTTTGTTACTTGCAATGAAGTGTCTTAGTTGATACCAAGGTAAGTGCCACCTGCATTTCCACTACCTGTAAAGAGGGGGTGATGACATTGAAGTGGTACCTACAGGTCCCCTTGGGTCTCGCCCAGATTAGGAGGCAGAGGATGGGTGATAACACAATTTCTGATTGGATGGCTGAGGGGGTGATGGATTCCTTCCTAAGAGATCCTATTGAGGAAGAGCTGATGCGAAGGGAAGGCAATGATTCCGTGTGTGCAATATCTAGGTGAGAAGAATCTGGAATTCAGAGAGTGGGTTGGATGTAAAACCAAACCAACCAACCAGCATACCAACCAAACAGCCA